CTAGCTCTCTAGCTTTCTTGTTATCAAATATCAATTCGCTGATTTAAGTATCAGAGTGCCCACCCCATATCAAGCAACCCGAACACTCTGATTTCTTCTTTTGTAGGTCAGCTAAGCAACCTACTCAATTCAATGTCTGAACTGTCTGCCAATAGCTAGGGAGCACCAGATTGTGCACCATCAATACCAACTAATTGGTCAATGGTAGCCAGTTGGTCCCACCCATATGAATTGCCGCATCATCATCCAGAAAGTCAGAAGTCTGACTCTCAATGTGTTTAAGGGTGCAAAGCAAAGAGATTTTGTCAAAATTCGAATGAACCCGAACCGACCCCGGAGCAATGTATAAACTATAAACTCGGCCGACCCAAAATATATCTTGTTGCGTATGAAAGCTCCCTGCCCTACGACCCCTACCTAACCTTTATGTATGCATGTAATTATTATTCACACTGTTTTATCTGATATTCAAACTTTAGAACTCAATCCACCAACACACCGTAAACATAATGATATCATATCCTATGAATCAAATTACTAGAAATCTATTCTATATATATAAAGCATGGCCTCTCCTTGCTCTAAATTCCTATTATAATTATTTTTTTTGTTCTTTTTATTCTACCTAATTGCCCATTAAATTAATAATGAAACGACATAGGCAATAACCCCTAAGATTGTATCATCGGCCCACAAGGTGTGCCCCTACAGTTGTGATCACATGCACATCTCAGTATGCATTGGGAATATCTTCCATATTTGTTATTGGGTTATGTTCCCAATACACGATCGGGATGTGCTATAGAGCGCTTGTGGGCCATTGAATTGAACTCATAATCCCCTTATCTTATTCCTAAAATCTTTCTCTCTCTCTCTCTCACACACACATACACACACATGTTCCCAATCAACTAAATCATCTCTTCCCCTAAAAGTTCTCCTAAACTATCTCCCCCACCTAAAACTTCCTCCTAAAACATCTCCTAACCTATCTCACTATAAACAGTCTAATTCTAATTCTTCTTTCCCAACTCCCTTTCTCTCTTTTTTTAACTAAAATACTAATAAGATGAGTAAAAGAAAATCTAAAAGCCTAATAAGAATGAAATAAATGATACCATAAGACAAATAATAAAAGTAACAAAATTTAATAATTAAAAAATTATTATAATTATACAAATAATGCTTTTCATATCGTCATTGAAAATTTAATAATTAATTATCATAATTTTATATTATACTATAATGATTTTAATTTAAAAATGATTAACATAATAGAAAAGTCAAAATAAATTACTAATTGTTTAATTTATTGTTAAAATTAATTTTAGTAATATTATACTTAATTTATAATAACAAATTCTAACAAGATTACAAATTTTAAACAATAATAAACTTAAATATAATATCATAACTTAAATTATGCATCAATAACAATTTAATAAAAGTAAAAAAATTATTAATTTAAACCCTATTTAAATTCAATTATAAAATAATGAAAAATAAACACAACAAGATGAGTTCAATATGGGTTTAACTTCATCCTACCTAGGTCCCTCATTTTGCCACATCATCTGGCTCTTAACCTTTGGCCATGTCACCCTACTTCCCATTTCAATGCTATAACAAAGTTGGAAATTTTCCAAACATTAAATGTATAAGATGATTAAAATAATGAAAATATCAATTTATTTTGATATTTTATAATTAATTATTCATAAAATACATACATATTTAAAAATTAATTTATTCATATTAATAGTTATTGAATAATCAAATTTTAATATTTAAATATTAATTTATTATTATATGAAATTAATTTTGTATTAGTATTATCTGGAATTGATAATTATTACATGAAGTTTTTAGTAATTTAAAGATACTTATTTATTTTTAAAATTAAAAAAAAAAACTATTTTTTAGAAACTTTTAGGTAACTTCAGAAAATTATTGATTTTGAAATTTAATTTTGGTAATAAAAATGATTTATTGATATTTTCATTTATATTGGTTCTTTTTGTATTATTAAATTGAAAAATATTGGGGAATTTTAATATTAATAATTTATATTTAGGTATTTTTAATTTAGTGATTTCCATAAACTAAATTTCATGTTTTTGGTAAGTTAATTTAAAAAATCTATTTTTTTGAAAATTAATTTTTCCATATCAATAAATTTTGAAAGTTTTATTCATAAATTTTTGAAAAATAATTTATTTATATTAATATTTGTACTAAGGATTTTTAAGATATTTAAAATTTTCTTTCTATTTTTTTATTTTTTGTTGTGCAAACAATAATAAATTATAAATAGATTTTTTTATTAATATAGTTTTATCACCCTATGTCAAAGTGTCAATTGGTTGGTTGGTAAGGTCTCAAATTGGTTGTAGGAGAGACTTAGGCTCAATTTAGAAGGAGTACAAATGTAAATATATATAACATAAATATATACAAAATAATACAAAATATAAGGTTTTACACTCTACATATTTGCATTTGTACTCCTTCCAAACTCAGTCAGATCAAATCCATCTTGCACTAAGGTTGGGAGGCTTTATGGGTGTAGGGATGATCCCCCCTCCCCCCTCCCCTCCTCCCCCCTCCCCTATCTGCCAAAAAAAAAATTCCTGAAATATTTTATTTTCCCGTACATCTATCGCACGGGGCCCTACTAGTTACAATAAGTAAAACAAGGAAATGTTGAGAGGCTAGGGCTACAAATAAGCTGGATTACATTTGGTTTGAAACCGAATTCAATTTGGTAAGAGCAAGATTCAGATATCTCCTAACTACATTTTACACGTAGCAACATGAATACTTTATGGCACTTCGTCACCACACGTGGCAAGACCGCTTAGATAGCATTTCAGATCATTGTTGGCAGCTCAACCCTTAAGGGCCGAGTAACATCAGATCTTCAACCTAGAACAAATTCAGGAACGTACTCCCGACCTAGTACATCTGACTTGAGCTACCTCTGACCTGTAGGATGAGCACACTCTTATCTCCGTTAACATAGATGGGCCATTATGCGAACTCGGGGCCACTTGGCGGTGGTTCTGTGTTGGAACTCCAACTCCCACTTCACAGGGAATTGGGTTCGATATACCCGTGGACTGCAGATGTGTCTTCCTCAATCGCCTGGACATGTCCACTAAGACTGGCTGCCTATTTCGCCCTTCACAACACGTTCAGGCTGAGCCATGAACCCTATATGATGAAGGGCGATTTGGCCGTCTAGTAATATTACGTCACATGGCGGGTGCTTAGTACCTCAGTGCCATGTAGGAACCTCGGCTTAGGATTAGTTCGACGATCTCGAGATTAGGTCATCCATCACAGGTTCAGGCAAGGGACCCTGGCATAGAGGCGACCTCTCTTTGTCAATTTGGCTAGAATGCAGTTGGCGACCTATAGGACATGGTGGCCGACTCCGGTTACGAGTGAGTTATCGTCTTTGACTTTTCCGGGATCACGATGCTTGACTGTTAGACCTATTTTTTCGCATCGTCTGCATTAGAGTTGATCGGACGGGCTTTATTCCTCTGTGTGGATCACGTATCTGGCTGAGAGATCTCCTCTGACATGGCAGACATGATTTCCCGGTTTCTTACACCTATATAAAAGTGTCCCCTCCCTTAGAGAAGGTATGCACGATTTAGCTCTCACAGTTCACTAGCTCTTTTGCTTTTTAGTTCTCTCCAAAATCTCTAATTCGTTGATTGAAGCATCGGAGTGCCCGACCTAAATACTCTAATAGTCCTTTTACAGGTCGACCCAGTGAACTCGGCATCCGAGATGCATTCCAACAGGAACTGCCAGATCATGCATCATGTGTTTGGTTGTCAAGAAAGGATGAGATGAGATGGGATGAGAAAGGAGCCTGAATTTGGTTGCTGAGACTAGTTATCCTATCAAACCTGTTTGGTTGCTGATAAGAGAGGAGCCTGAGTTTGTAACTGGTCGATTAGAGGTTTAGAGTCGAGAGCAAACCCTATAATCTGATGAGATGAGAACTCAGAAGCAGCCCTAGAAATCTAAAATGAGAAGCTGTAGTCGATTAGAGAGGTTTTAGAGAAACATGCCTCTCAATTTGAAAAAAAAAATAAAAAACCCTGCCATTACTGTTTTTAAGGATTCAGGAGAAATCGGCATGCTTTCTTTTGATAACCAAACAAATCCATCGTTATCGGCTTCTCAGGGAAAGAAGACACCTTGTCTGCCTCCGATAAGCAAATGGAACAGCCGTTGTCAGCCCCCGAAGGAGAAGTCATTGTATTGTCTTCTAGTAATGAGAAAGCGTAATCACCGTTAGCTTCCGAAGGGGAAGCTACTGTCAACGAGCTTAAGAGAAGGAGATACTGTGTCCTGTTCGGACGGGTAACCAAAGAGCTCCACGTATGAGTTCAAGAGAAGAAGGAACCGCTTTGTCTTCTATCGGTGACCAAGCAACTCCCTAGCTACCTTCTATCGGTGACCAAGAGAGTAGAAGCTACCGTACCTTCGCTGGAGATGAAAGTTTCATGTGGTCAGAGTTCGGACCGTTGCTGGGGTAGGAGAATGGAGATGAGAATAGTGTGCCCTCGATAGATTTGTCCCATGTTGTCGCAGTGCTCACACCTATGTGATGAGACCATCCCAATTTTTGAAAAGAGAATTCTCGTCACATCCCATTATTTCGCCTAAAACAAATGAGAAAATAAAAATCTTCGACGAATATTCTTTTTTTTTTTCTCATCCCAATCCTACAAACCAAACATACCATTAGGTAAGCTATCATCGTCTGAGAGCACCTATTGCATTTTGATTACTGCACCTACTCCTTGGACATCTCAGCATCCACTGATTTAAACGTCTGAATCCATAGCCTGTGACGTCCACTTGGGCCCTTTACTTGCTGTTTTAGACTTTTGATCTTCATCAATTATATATTATTTATATCATATCATCAAAGTTTTTCTTTAACAATTCAAAATCGAATCCAATTCGAATCGGATATCCAATAAAATATATATTGAAAATTCGACATATATTTATCAGATTTAGATCGGTCGAATTTCTTATCGAGTCTACCAAAAAAAAAAAGATTATCGAGTCGAATCCGATCTGTTTGCAGAATTGCAGAGGTAAGGCTGATGCAGACATATTTCAGAAAAGATCCGGATCCCATGTGAACTGCCCAGTGGTAATCCGTCGCAAAGGTCTATTCATCTGCTCACCAGACAAACGGGTCCGGATAATTCTATTTTGTATGCTCTGGAATGAAGGATTATTGTTGAGTGCTTCGGATACACTGTGACGCTGTAATGGATCTTCCGAGAAATTGATCAGGGCTTCTGCTGCATTGTCCTTCATGAGTTCTTCTGATTCATCCGGCAACGAACTAATGAGAAGTGGAATCACCCCTGCACCGACCAAAGCAATTCGATCTCCCTCGTCATAGGTCAACTGGGCAACAACCCCAGAAGCCTTGTTTCTAATATTAGAATTCCCATCTCGCAAAAGCTCAACGATGATCGGAATTGCACCAGACCGTCCAACAATGGATACAGAATACTTGTAAGTTGACAGGTTCCACAAAACATCCAGAGCTGTAGCCTTGGCTCCGTCATCACCTCCTCGGAGAATCGTCACCAAGTGTTGGGCTATTGATATTGCATTTTCTTCTGCAACAGCTAATACACAGAAAGCATCCGCTGCAATTTCTTTACCAAGGGGCTCAGCTCCCCTGAGAAGATCTGCATACCAAGGAATGGCTCCAGCTTGGGCTACAGGTCTGATATAATCAACATGGGATGCGATTATACCAAGAGCATTAGCAGCAACCAACTTAGTCGACGCATCTCCAACCCGCAGCAGCTCGACGAGTAGTGGTATGGCACCCAAGCCGACGAGCAACGGCCGTACTCCCGTCGTTACCGCCAGCAACCCAATTGCCTGTGCAGCTCTGGCTCTGGAAACCATTCTTCCACGCCGAGCAGATTCAACGAGCAAAGGGAGGCCACCGAAACCGATGATAACTCTCCTCACTTCTCTCAGTAATGCCAATGCACTTACGATCTCTAACAAGTAACGCCTGGTATAATCCGTGCATGAAGCGAACAATTGGAGAACAACCTCCAAGCCATCGCTTCTGGCTACTATTGCGCGATTAACGCTAGCAAAGGTGACGAGTCCCCAGAGACATTTGATCAGAACTCGTCGGGAGCTAGCTTCTGCGGCCTGCGGCAATAGTCTCAAGAGGCAAGGAATGGCACCCGATTGGCCAATGACTACGGCCATTGAACCATCGCCATGACGGGCAAGGCGGTTCAAGCAAAACGCAGCAGCTTCTTGAATCGAAAGACTCGAATTGTTCAAAGGTGTAGCAAGAAGATTTACGAGGATTGGCACGCTGCGCGATAATACGTTCTCAGGTGCATACTTGGAGAGACAGCCGAGCTTGACGGTGGCTAGTATTTGCAGAGTCTCACTCCCACGAGCGATATGTTTCTCGTACAGATTAAGTGCTTCATTCCAATCCGTAGCTTGGCTTCTATGTGGATGATCCATGGAAGGACTAACTGACATACGTCAGAACTTTTCTGAAATCCACCACCACTAGAGACTGGATTCAATAACTCATATACAGATTACAAAAGCATAGGCCTCCGATATCAAATGCTTTCAAATAGATGGTGAGAAAACTAAAGTGAAGCAATAGAAGAGTAGCTCTAGGGTCGAAGGAAAGATATGTGCATCAAGGTGAGAAATTACATGCCAACTGCTGTCTTGATAAAGAGGAGATGAGTGGTGCAAATGAACAAATAAAAAAAAGGGTAAAATACAAAAACTTTCCCTAAGTTTCTGAATCATAAAAACCTTCTCTATAATTTCATTTTAACAATAACCTCCCCGCTACTTTTAAAAAATTTGACAAAAATCTTCATTCCGTCAATAATTATGACGAAAAACGTTAAAACCATGATCCGATCTTTTCAAATACCTATTTTACCCTTTCACACGTTAATGATTTTCTTGGTTCTACTGAGATTGACCTATTTTACCCTTCCTGCAGCGAAAGACACCTTCTCCCGATGAAACCGAAACCTTGGACGGTTCACACCGATCCCCTGTTTGAGCCCGTCGCCGATCACCATTTCTTCGATGGTGACGGCATGGTTCACGCTGTTAGCGTCCAGGAATGATCCCCTGTTCGAGCCCATAGCAGCTAGCTACGCTTACCGCTTCACTGAGACGCGACTGAACTTCCTCTGCGGCGGAGAACAATGGATCCTTCTCCCACTGGTCAAAACTCGAAGCCATGTTCTATTAGTCGAATTTCGGCCGTTTTTCAGTCAAATCGACCTCATAAACTGAGGTTCCATCCGGATTCAGCAATCCCCAGTGCCGTTTAGTTCCCGATCCACCCTTCTGGTTCTCATTGTACAACGCGAAAATGAATGTCGGTATTACTACACTTGGACGGGCTGGAGTTTCGATTGCTAGTTTGGACGTCATTCTCTGGATTAGATTTCGGTTATATGTAGCTGAGTTGAAGATGTTCACTCCGATCTGGTCGACGTCTCCGGCATTGGGCCACCCTGTTTCGGCGATTACCAACCGAATGATCGCGAACCCAAGCTTGGTCATGGCGAAGATAACCGAGTCGAGCATCTGGTCAAGGAGGTTGGTGTAGGTTAAGCCACTTCGCGGGTCGGTGTAAGTTTGGTTCCCTTTGAAAAGCGCATGGTCGAGATTAATGTTCGTGGGATCGCCGGACCAGGGGAAGTGAGGGTAGGCGTCGAGGAAGAAATAGGATTTGGTTCGGTTCAAGAACTATAATAGAGGCTACATCACCGGTATGGAGATATCAGATCGAAACGTTACGTTCGACGGTGGGAAGGACGATTGAAGGACATCCATGGTAGTTGTAGTCCCAATTTTGATGTTTACCGATCTTGGGAGAAGCTGAAGATTTCATTATCGACAAGGAGGTAATGAATCAAGGTTTTGGGGTAGAAAGGAACGATATTGGTTCTGATAGAGCGCAATCCGGCCGGTCTTAGCTGTCAACGATCCTGCCTCTGACTGGAGCAACAGGTGCCTGAAACGGAGAAGAAGGTGAGGAATTTCCGGGGAGGAACCCGGTGAGATTGCTCCGAAGCTCAAGTTAGTATTTTCTCAAAGGCAAGATCCAAACCAGATAGCGCAAAGTTATCACATACCTCTCTTCTTGGGGGGAAGGGGGCCTTTTATAACCACTTCGTGCACTCACTCCTAAACTTCTATCAGGTCGGGTACAATTACCCCTGCGCTTCTGCCAGTTCGGGTGTCATCACCTCTGCTGGGGCAGAACCGCCACTGCTCTCTTTGTCGGAGCCGTCTCTGTAACTGGAGATGGCGGTGGCAGGTGGCCGTTGAAATGCGGCTTTCAAGCATCAGACCCCAAGTCAGTTAGGTGCGCTGCCTCAGGATACGGACTCCTTCGGTGTCAGGTACGGTACGGTTGTTCAGTTCGGCATCCTAGAGGCGAAGTGCTGGAGTGGTGTGCGGAGTGGTCTTGAGTTCGGATGGAGGTGTGGCCCAAACTGCCATGGGACGGGCCAGTTCGGGTTGTTTCGTAAGGCTCGGGGTCTAAGGGAGAGCTCGGGTTCCTTGTGGGGAGTTCGGGCTCCTTGTAGGGAGTTCGGACCGCTGGTTCCTCCTTTCGGAGCTTGCGCCTTGGGCGTGCTTTTGTGCCGAGTTGTTGCCTTTGCCACGTGTTGAGTGGTTACGAGGTCGGGCCAAATCTTCCTTCATCAATTGCCCCCCACTCCTCGTGCAAAGNGGGTATGATTACCTCTGGGTTCCTGCCAGTTCGGGTGTCATCCCCTCTGCTGGACAGAACCGCCACTGCTCCCTTTGTCGGAGCCGTCTTTGCGACTGGCGATGACGGTGGCAGGTGGTGGTGGCAAGTGACCGTTGAAGTGTGGCTGTCAAGCGTCAGATCCCAAGTCAGTTAGGTGCGCTGCCCTTGGATACGGACTCCTTCGGTGTCAGGTACGGTACGGTTGTTCAGTTCGGCTGGAACGGTGTGCAATGCCGAGTTGTTGCCTTTGCCACGTGTTGAGTGGTTACGAGGTCGGGCCAAATCTTCCTTCATCAATTGCCCCCCACTCCTCGTGCAAAGGGACCTGCCTTGGCGCGGGGAGTTCGCAAGGTGGTGGGTGGATTTGACCCGTACTTCGAACTTGTTTGATTAATAGCGCGAAGTGCGCGTTTGCCAGGATTTTTCCAAGTTCCTCAAGCGCTAAAAAGTCAGAAAACACGCCATTCTATCTATAAATGCTGACAGACGTGACAACGCACGTTTATTTCAAAATTTAAAAAACGCGCCACTGGGAGACGTGACAACGGGCGTCTTTTCAAATTTGAAAAAACGCGCCGCTGCCGCCTTTAACGCGAGGAGACATGCGTTGGCGCTCTTTCAGTTTCAAAAGGCATGTGGCCAGTCACGTCTTGGTCTCAGGAGAAGTGCGGTCAGCGTGATTGCGGGCCGTTGGATTCGCTTTGATCAGAACCGTTGATTTTTGGTTACTGTGGGTACAAATAGTGGGGGACCCCAATCGCTTTGTCACTCCTGCGTTTTGCTTCTTGAGCTCGCGTCCAAGTTTCAGCTTGCGTACAAGTCTTTAGCTCGCGTTCAAGTTCCCGTAGTCCGTTTGCTTTTTCCGGGTGAGTACTTTCTGGGAATCCTTCTCCTCCCAATGTCTAGCTCGGATAGCTCAGACAGTTCTTCGAGTGGGTCAGATGCAGGTTCTACGAACCGAGCTGCATCCCCCGATAGCCCTAGTGAACCCGAGGTAGAGCTCGAGGAAGAGTTCAAACCCGTAGGCTGAGTCGCCTCGGGTAGTTTGGCGTCCTCCTCCCATCGATGTCGGACGTTAGACAAGTTTGGGCCCTCGACCAAGACGCCTGAGGGGCTTCACTCCCTTATTACCCAGTTCAACTTGCCTAGGGAGTACACCTATTTCATACCCTCGGGCAGTTTCCCTTGGGAACACGGTCCTAATGAGATCGTGGTATTCCAGGAGCAGCTCGTTGCTGGGTTGCGCCTGCCTTTTCACCCCCTCAATGTCGAGGTTATGAACCACTTCGGTGTTACCGTCGGCCAGCTTCACCCGAATTCTATTCATAACTTGGTGGGGACAACCTCCCTATTTTGCGAACAGATCTTGCCTTTAGACCTGGAGATCTTCTCTTCCATTCTAATGCTTAAAAAGCAAGCGGGTCCCCTTCCCGGGCTAGGCGGGCGTATTACCTGTCTCCTCGCCCGGGTTTTAAGCTTTTACACGATCTTCCCAACAAGGTCCCGGCGTGGAAACGAGACTACTTCGGGGTGCGAAGTGCATTGGGGTGGCCGTTCCAAATCGGGTGGGGGATGGATGCCCCTGATGCCGGTGTTACGCTTGATAGGGAGACGGCGAAGGGCCTTCGGGAATGGACACGGCTTGGGCTAAAATGACACCATTATCTGACGGAGGCCAAGCTCATCGAGGCCGGTCTGAGTTCGGGTAGGTTTCTTATTCAGAGGCTTGCCTTTTGTTTTGCTCTATTCTTTCGTTTTCCTGATGCCGAGCTCTTTTTGCAGGTGTGTTGGACTTAAAGAAGACTCGTGGTGGGAACCTGTTTTACGCCATGAAGAGGAGGAAGTGAGTCGCCAAACGAACTCGTGTCAAGCTGCCCCGAGATGCGGAACCCGAGGTACCAGACTACCCGTCAGTGGATCCGCCCAGGGAGCCCGAGATGGCCCCTCCAATGCAAGAAGCGGTAGGGGCCCCTTATGCCGAGGCTACTTACACGGGGGCTCCCACTTACTCTGAGTCTGCTTATACGCGAGCTGGGCCTTCAGGCTCGGGAGCCCAAGGCGAGTTCAGGAGCGTGTTGTCGCCGAACCACGCTCTTCAGAAGAGTAGGGAGGCCATTTATCCTAAGGAGGTCACGGCATGGACCGAGCT